AGCATGGCGTGACTCAGAGGCGTCTGTATCAATTTATGGTTGAATTTGGTCTCTTCTCTTTGGCTGTTGATTTCTGCTTAGTCCTGGCGTGTGCGTGCCTACGAGTGCGTGTGTGAGCGCGTGTGTGTGTGAGTGCGTGTGCGTACGTGCTTGGCTGTGCGTTGGATTGTATGTGTTGAAGTCTAGGAAATGTTCTCGGCATGCCGGAAATAAGTTTGCTGCCCGCAAAGTTAGTTGATTTAGGCATTAAAGCGAAGCCATTGGTCCAGCCTCTGACCAGCCTCGTCCTTCGTCCTGCAAAGCTCACAAGGCACTTGAGCGTTTATAAACAATGTATGGCTTAATTTGCTGTTAGTTAGTAGCAAATGTTGTTAATTTAGAGGCCGAGACCAGAGCCAGACAATATTAACAGATGCTCCTACATGGCTGCTTCAGATAATAAATTAAAGGATATTGGACGCTGCTTCCAAAAAGTAGCCCCTAAACAATAAATGAGAATTTGATCTCGACCCAAAAGCTTGCACAAACCAATATGGTCAAATAACTCCAATAATGCTTTTGACTTTAGTTATTTACTTTTTGTTGCTGAGCCAACCTCAAGAGTTCTTTATTATGAATCAGGCTATTTATGTAGAAAAATGTGATTCGAGCTTTGGTTCGATTGCTTTTTGTGAAACAGGTTTGGCTAAGAGTACAAAAGAAATTGAAAATTCCGGCTTGGAGCACTGAGATCAACGAAGCAAAAATCTTCAGGGCCTTCTTGGCTTAACGCCGCAGCTCTGTCTTAGAGTGTAGTTCTATGTATAGATTATCACATAACCTACCTTGCCGATATAATGAAGGAGAAATACTATCTAGGGCAGAGGATCTGTCTAGCAAGGCATCAAGGCCATGCTAGCTAAGTGTCACTTGCCCATCGGCTCATTGTAAAGAAATAGGCGCGAAAATCATTAAAGATCAGAAGCATTTAGTCAATCAGGGCTAGAATTATTGGTGACCTTTTAGTTGGCTAAAAAGATAGTAGCTGATCAAATTATTCGGTAATGCAGCTAATCAGAAAAATACAGAGATATATATATTTTAAAAAATGTATTTATTTCGATTAAGATCTTCTCGTGCCCTAGAAATTTCGTAACAAAAGAGTGAATAAAACTTTCCAAATTGAAGTATTTACTTATGCTTATGAATTACGGAAATAAGAACAAATCGAATTTCAACTAATACTTTGTGTTCGAATAACATTATTTTTACCTGTGCCATATTCAAATCAGATATATCCCAATCAAATCATATGAAATCGAATCGAGGTTAAGTTGAAATACTGTTGTTATCACCGCATATACTCTACGTTTAACTAAGTTTTTAAAATACAAATATGTTAAATTTTTGGTAATTGTTTGAAGTTAATTTAAATTCAAGACGTTCTTCATTTTGGAAATGTTTCAACACAATATGTTAAAGTTCAAACAGCAAAAAACCGGCTAGTATTCAAAAACACCAACACACATACTTTGTCTCTCGCTGTCTCTTATCCACACACACATAGCTAAGCACACACGCATAAATGGAATACCACAGACGGGGAATAAAAACCCAAAGTCCAATTAAAATTTAACTACATCAAAGTAGCAGCAGCAGCCGCATCAGTAGCTGTTTTAGATGAGACATCCCCGACACCTACACACACACATATGCACACATCCACACGCATGTGTATATACAATATATGTATATATATGGCTATAATATTAAACAAGTTTTGTATTTTGGGTTCGGGTGCGGATTGTGTTCGTGTGCTCTGTGGGAGCACAACAGCTGGACACGGACATGGACATTCCAACTATGAACAAAAAAAACGAAGCACGCTCACACCAACACACACACACACACAATGACCATACAACTCACACACACACACACACTAACACTAGCGCACACCTACACTCTCAGAGTATCCATGGCATGTCGAAATTGCGCAGCTTTACGGCAAATGCCGCAAATTGAAACAATTTACATGTTGTACATGTGTGTGGGGCCATCAAAGGGTTAAGCTTGCGTGTAAACCGTCTGTACATGAACGTGTGTGTGCGTGCTTGTGTGTGTGCTTGTATGTGTGCCTGTGTGTGTGTTTGCCCGCTATTGATACCAATGCACGATTGAGCATCGCCGCCGTGGCCTCTCTAACAAAACCATGAATTTTGATTTAGCCTCAAGCCTGAAGGTTGCCTCTGACCAGAAAAACCCGGCCAAAAAAATTGACAGTCGCGCACAAAAACAAAAAAGGACAATATCAACAACAATACCAACAACAACGAGGTGACAAGCCGCGCGTGACTCGTTGCCCAGCTTTCCAAAACTTGCAGTTACCCAACGTTAATGGCGACGGCAAGCTGGGATTATGGCGCGCTTCTCCAGCGGAGTTTCAGCTGCTCCACACATTACATTTTTTTTCTTTTCTTTTGAGTTGGCCACAATTTAATAAAGTGCGGCTTGACCAACTGTTGTGATACGCTTCACAATGGACACTAGCTATATGGGCCACAACATCGAAGCAGGCGAACGATAAAATATCATCCATATGGCTGTTTTCTTGACATACCTAGCTACTCTCTTAACATTTTCAATTTCCCAAACAGTATGCACCATTTTGCACTTTCTTCAGCTCTGAAGTGAGCCTTGAAGTAAAGTGAGCTCCTACTTGACATCATTTTGCACCTATAATATATTATTCCATCTTTTTCTTTTCTTGACAAACTATTGATATTAATATTATTCGAAGCTGAAATACGTCTCTCTCTGCGATTTTAATCTCTCTGCCTTTTCAATACGACAGCATATTTGAGTAGCACCTCTCTCTGCGATTCACACAGTCCTGATAAGGTAGGGCCACGCATTAATAGATGAAGTGTTAGATGGAAATAAAGAATAAAGGAAATACCTGGACAGTTTTACCTGTTATATTGGGCAGGTCATTAAGCACCCCACAAGAGCAGACGCAACTGCCCGACTGTCACTGCTGTCTCATTCCGCGTCTTGCTCCGTAATAACCTTTATAAAGTAAATTTACAATAAAAGGCAAATGGTGAATGAGGAATGGCGAGTGGCGGTTGGCAAATGGTAAATGGAGAGAATGGAGAATGGAGCATGGAAAATGTCGGATAGCGAAATGGCTGCGACACGCAGCCAGCAGCCTCCATTGTCCATTTTCTGCCTGCTTGGCTGTTTTTTGCTGCCATTTCTCTTACTGCTTTTTGGTGCTTTGCTGCCCACGCGCCGACACGTTTGGCTTCCGTTGGATTTTCGCCGCGATTTCCTTTTGCGCTGTTGACGTCGCGCCATGACCATACCCATGCCCAGTCCCAATCCCAATTGCCAGCTGTCGTTTTTTGTGCTCGTTGGCCAAAAGTCAACCCATGAGCTGTGGCATTTTTAAGTAATTTTTATCGCCGAACTGAGGTCTGGAGAAATTGGGGGGAAAATCGGACCAACTGGACAGTTGGACAATTGGACAGTTGGGCAGTTGGGCGGCTGGACAACTGTTTGTGGCGTCGTTGGGGGCGTGGCTCGCGCAAAAGAAATCTGCAGTTAGGAATTTTAAAGTTGTTACACGACCAGCAACAATGAAAACTCCGCCTACAAGGTCAGCGGATGCGGTCAGTACACTTCCTACTATCCGCCCAGACTGCTCCAGTGCGTGCCCGTTTGAGCTGGAGACGGGGTGTAGCACACAGTTCAAAAACTGGCAGTGACTAATGATGATGGTGATGTTGGGCTGACGCTTGGACAACGGGCGAGCAGAGTCGAGTGTCGACAAGTGACAAAATATGCAAGTATCAAACCACAAATTCTCACCCGTGAGTCCACAATCATTTTGACACTGGTTACTGCGAGGCGCAGTGCATGTGAATGCGGATGCGTATACGGATGAGGACTAGATTTGCGTTTGGATAGTTGAATGCCACAGCTAGCCACATGTCCTGTGCCAGTTCCTGTTGCCGTTCCTGTCTGATATCCCCGTTGCAACGTCCTTTGTCGCGTTGCAGGAAATTGAAAAGTGCAACGCAAATTGCGTTCCGCTGAAGGTTGCACGCTCAACGTTCAACGTTCCACATTCAACGTTCAGCATTGACCATGGCGCATCCTCATGGTCGCCACTGCCCTCGCGTCGAGTGGTTGACAATTGATTTGTGTTTATGTGTGCTGTCCGGTCTGCTCACTTGGATGCCGCACAGCCAGAGCACGGATTCGCCCGGACCAAGCATCATGGCCCTAGTCATGGCCATGCAAAATGCCGGTTGACTGTGATTTAAAGACATTAACATGATGGGTCTGCAAATTTCGTGGACGGCACAAACTGAAATTTAAGTCAATTTAAGCCCACTCCATCCCCAGCTCTAAGATACGCTGTTATAGATGGGCCAAATTTGCGCACTTTTTGGAATTTTACAAACTTAAATGATGGAATCTTAATTATCATATCCTAATTGCGTGGGTTTTAATGGGCTGATAACTATATTTTTATAATGATTTATGGATATATTTGTTGCTGAAAGCTGCTGGTGATAATTTGGTTATCTTTCCCTCTATTCTTTCCATATGTGTCCCTCTTTAAGAGAGAAATTCATTAGCCTTAACTTTGCTTTAACATTTCTTCAAGACAAAGGAAATCATAATGTCTGCTCTGAATCAGGACTAAGTTAAGAGTTGTAGAAAAAGCTAATTATATGCGATAACCATGTTCGATTGTTATTGATATTTCTCGTTGTTCGAGAATTTTTGAGATGATCTGCTTATTTCGCAAGCGGTACACAAAAAGGCATTGTATAATATTGTGCTGAAAGAAAATTTTGTGGGAGGGTGAGGCGCTACTAGATATTATTCCACAAGCAATTTTAAGTTTAAGTACATTTTAAAAAAATTAATATTTTTTAAATATTTTGTTTTGTAATACCAAAAGTCTAATCTATGGAATTTTCTTCGATTTTTTTTGTCCTTTCCAGCTGTTAAGGCAGCGAGTGAATTTCGTTAATCCAACCAACGTTTGGGCAAATCAGACAAAATTGTTCGCCTAAAAAAAGTGCAAGCTCACGCTCAAGGACATCTGGAGCAGTTTGAGCAGGAGCCGCCGCACTATACGCACCAACACTTGCACCACTCGCAACATCACTCGCAGCAGCAACAGCACCACTCGCAGCAGCAACAACAACAGCAGCAACACCACCAGCACCCCTACAACAGCCACTACAGCACACAGCAGCATCACAGCAACATCCACTACAACAACAATACCAACAACACCAACAACAGCAACCACGGCCACAAAATGCATTTGACAACCACGAGCGGCAATTCGACGGCATCGAATGCCAATAGCAACAACAACAACAACAGCAACAACAATAACAACAACACAGCTAACAACAATAACTCCAGCAGCAGCAACAACAACAACACAAGCAACACAAATGGCTCCAACAACAACAACAGCTCAAGCAGCAACAACAATACCGAACAGAATACGCCCCCAACACCCGCCCAGCTACTAAATGAGGCATACACCAAAATGACCTCGGACATATTGGCTGAACGCACCTTGGGCGATTTCCTCACCGAGCATCCCGGCGAGCTAATAAGAACAAGCAGCCCGCTTTTTGTCTGCACCGTCCTGCCACCGCACTGGCGCTCTAATAAGACGCTGCCGGTGGCCTTCAAGGTCGTCTCTCTGGGCGACATCATGGACGGTACCATGGTCACGGTTCGCGCTGGCAACGATGAGAACTACTGCGCCGAGCTGCGCAACTGCACAGCCGTCATGAAAAACCAGGTGGCCAAGTTCAACGATCTGCGATTTGTCGGACGCAGTGGCAGGGGTAAGTTTCATGCCATATCCATATATATCCAGTTATAAAAATAAATAAAGAACCGGCAACACTCAAGGACAGCCTTTTTCACATATCCTGCAGCTAATCATGCACGACAGTCAACAAGACAAGTCAAGGAAAGCCAATGAATATTCAGTTTTTGCAATAAAGTTTTGCCATATGGTTGTGAGCTTAACAGCTGCGAGCTTAGCATTCAGATTTATTTTTAACTCAAGGAGCGCAAGGAGTTGCTTTAAGCCGTGATTCCTTTTTTAGTTCTGGATGCAAAAGCAATATTTCCATATGTCTCACTCATGCTTTAAAGAACTTAACTTTGGGAAAATGTATCTGATGGTAACCTATTTTTTTGTATTTGAATAATATTATATAATAATCTGATCTATACGAAACTGAGTACAATATTTTTCTGGAAATCTATCTATAAACAGCTTGCTCGTGTCAGAACAATTTGATGCTCATTTCTCTCGCACTTTTTGGTATATTTTCAAGTCGCTTTAGTCATTTCGTGACCGAAAACTATTTTAAGTGCTTCTTTATAAGTGTAATACAAATATAATATATATAGATGTATCCATGTATTTATAGAAGTCAGTAGCCGCTGGTTGTTTGTGGCTGAAATGCACTCGAAACAATTTGTTCAATTATCGCCCCCCGTTCACGCCGCTGTCCGCTGAGTGGCAAAAGTTTTGAGTGTGCTCTCCATCTCTTGTCCAAGTATTATTCAGCCACTTTTTGCACTCTGGCATCGTTTTATCTTTGCCTTTTTTTTCCCCGGCTTTTTTTCCACGCAGCCATCCTTTTGTATCCTTTTGTAACCGCTTGTAAAACGCTGCACAAAATTGTCAGCAGTTCATTAGCAGACGAGTTCCGAAGACTTGACATCAGTTCCGGGTGCCCAGACCCAGTCCCCCATCCACGAGACAGTACCTTAAAGTGTTTAATAGACTGCCAGGCGAAATTGACTGTGAACTGTGCGCGGGTTATGTCAGATTGAAGTTAAAATTTACTTTTTACACGGCAAGATAATCAGCATGGGAAATTTAGTATATACCTTTTAAAGAAGACAATACTGGTTCTTGCCTGAGTCAAAACAATAATGCAGGTAGTACCGAAAGTTAGCGCCAACTTTAGGCAAATACATCTTATATTTTCACGGGGGTTTTCTCCTTAAACCTCGTGCGCGGTGTGCCGTTACTGGGCGCATCCCGTTCCGATAATATCAATGCAAAACAATACCAATAAAATGACTGAAGTTGCCCGTTAATAAGATATTAAAATTACTGCTGGATTTGAGCTGTCGACCCAGCCCAGTCTTTACAGTTTGGGCTGTAAATGGATCACCAATCAATCATTCGGTCAGTCAGGACAAACACTTTAATGTGTTTGTATAGAGTAAACTTTATAAATTCAGGCATAACGGAAATGGTGACTTGTGTTATTCAAACGAACCAAAACGGAATCAGCTAAACTCTGTTTCCATACAGACATAGGCAGACACTGCGGAGCTTGAAGAGATACAGAGAGAGGGAGAGAGAGAGAGAGAGAGAGGCTTACGCATCCGCTGCGGTAAAACCGCAAAAACCAAAGCTCTAACTGCGGCATTTGTGACAGGGCGAGTGACGTCCAGCGGGGACCTGCACCAAAGTCTGCCGAATGTGCTGCAGGATTCATGCATTGTCATTCAATGGGCATGCCAATAGACGCGTCCGTCTTCTCATTTCTCACATCCGCATATGGATTCGCATTGAGGCGTTTAATTGTAAATTTCCATTCATTTAGGCCGTCTGGCAGCCCGGGAGACGCAGACCAACGTCAACGTCCTGGCTAACAAGCCGCTGCAGACCGTGTTGTGGATGCTCACGCAGACGGCTTGCTCCGTGGCTAACATGAACTAGCTTTACGCATTCACGTCCTCGTTGTGACAGGACAAAATGTGGGGAAAGTTATGTGTTTCATTTGATTTGCATGCCCATTGTTATATTGAATTCCTTTTGTTATAAATTGGCGACTGTTTCTTTTTCGCTTGATTAATTCGCTGCTGACGCTCAGCATTTCTGTGACAACCACAACGCAGCACTCACACTTAAGGGCATAATCGATATTCTAAGATTCAGTTGGTTACTTTGGCTATTAATTGCAACGGTTGTGGTTTGGTGTTTTGTTTCTGGTTCCGATTCGGCTCGGCTAGGCTCGGCTCGGCTCGGCTCGGCTAAGCTGCGTATGATTGATTTGTGTGTTTGCATTCCGCTAACCGTTGGCTGCCTGGCATGGCGGCCGCCATTTTGTTTTAGCTTCTGCTGCTGTCGCCTGCTAATTACGATAGCAAAATAGGAAATGCACATCCACCAACTCACCCCCTTTCCCCTACTACATCTGCTGGTGTTTTCTCCTACCCGTTGGGCGTATCGTGTGCGCGCGTCATGCAATTTAATTACCCGGGCATCGATTTATTTGGCCCCTGCGCTCTGCACTAGGCTACACTTTTAATTAGCAAAGTGCCATGCACATGCACGCAATAACACACAAAAACGCATACATACATACACACACACACACACACATATACATGCACACGCACACACACTAGCGCACAGAGCATGCGGGGCAGAGCTAAAGGTTGCGCAGGGGCTGTCGGTGCCAGTTGGCGATTGTTACGAGAGTTTGCCGCCAAAAGCAAGTTTCGCGTCGATAACTTCTCCATCGCATCATATCACAAAGTGCCGCAACGCATCGCACCACACCACACTACGCGCACCACACCACTCCGAACCACATGAACATTATCGATAAAGATAGCATGTTAAGCTTAGGGTTCGCAGCGTTGAGGTTTTTATTTACACAACTCTCCCAAGCCATTTAAGACAGCCGCAAAATGAACTGCACAAGCCCCCTTTCATCCAACCCAGCCAAGGCAAACAATCGAAAGTGAAAGGCGGCGTTGCCCCAAAAAATTGTATAAAAAGACAAACGACAAAAAGGGCGCACGTTCCGAGTGTTTGGCTGTGGCTCAGAGTTTGGGGCCGAGACCCAGGCCGTGTCTGGAGTAAACCAAGACAAATGCCTGGCAAAAGTCAAGACCCCAAGCTGTTAAAAGAAGGCGGCGTTAAAAAGGCAAGTTTGTGTCTTGAAAAGAAAAACAAAAAATAATACAATATACAAATAAAAAAACTTCTACGAACTGACACCTTGACTGCGCCAAGGCTTGGGTTTCAGGCTCTGTGTGAAGAGGCACCACGCCCCATCCGTATATTTTTGAATGCGTGCGCCCAATTTGTTTTTGGCTTTTGGGTCCTTATTGTTGTTGTGTTTTCATGCTGAAAATGTTGTGGGTAAATGTGCGGCATTTGAGTTTTGGCTTTGGAGTTTGAAAGAAAGCAACAGGCAGGCATTAAATTGTGTCACAGTCAAAACGAACTCGCTTTTAGAGATCGCTCTGATATCTCTTGCAATTTTGTACTCACCTGCAAATTCACATGTACGCTTATTCCATTGCCATATATCATTAGGCGGGAGGCGAACTTTTATATGAAGACATTACTGAAAGAACAGAAAAACAGAAAAAATTATTATTACCTTAATAATCCAGTTTGCTTGAATTAGTGAGAATCAGGTGGTAGTGCAATTTTTATAGATTTATGGTATGTTCAAATAAATACAAATAACAACATGCATATATACTATTGTAATAGTTCTTACTTTTATTTTTAATTTAATGAGTCATAGCTATATTAATAATACATACCAATTATTTCAATGGACACATTTATATTTGATGCCGCCTCCTCCGTTAAATTCATAGCCACCGTCGACTCCGCCATAGTTGAATCCGTCTTCTCAATGACTGACGTCATTCTCCAATATTAAATTCGCCGCCTCCTCCATGGCTGAAGCTGCCGTGGAGATTTTTCCACGCAAAAGGTCATAGTAAGCCGATCTATTTAAAAAGTTATGTTAACTAAACCCTATTTTTATAATAACAATAACAAAAAAACTATAAGGTAATTTCTTCGGATTTAGTGAACCTTTGCCTCGTAAGTCGTTATAAGGGAGGAGCACAGCTTACACTTTGGCACCTCTGAACAAGCCAAATTAAGTTTATTTCCTTTGCTGTTATCGATAGTTTCGCAGCAAAATAGAAACATATTTTACAATTTTACTATTTCGGATGTACGTCTAATTATTTTAATGCATAGAATGACATTCAGATAACTCTTACTTGAGTATTTAAATGTTCCATTCACGAGTAAAGATTATTTGTTCAGCCACCTCTCCCTCGAAGAGTAGGCATTTTGTGTGCGGCATTAAAATCAAAGCTGTTGACAAATAACTGAAATCCTTGTTGCAAATCCTTGGCAATTTACAGAACAAGCGTCATAAATCAATTGGGTAAAGAAAGGCATACAAAGCACACACGTGTCGTGCCAGTAAGTGGGGATCTCTCAGCGTGGCGGGTGTGGGCAGCAAAGACAAAGTGAAGTGGGCTCACACACAAATACACACTCATGTCCTTGCCTGTCAGTCAATGCGTGTGGCTGTGTCACAAATCACAAGAAGGCACACACGGCCACGCACACAGACACTCACTCACTCAGAGGCAACTTGGGCACATCATCGTTTGCGTGGCTTAAAATTACAATTTACAGATTATTTGCAATTAAATTTTTGGCTCATCTCCAAAAGTTTCAATATTTTTGTTTAAATATTTGCCTCGTTTGTCATATTTTGCCTGTCTTGGCAAACTCACGAACACGTGCACGCACACACACACACTCTGCATGGGTACATATATTGGTTTATCATTTTTATTTTTTATCAGCCATTTGAAATTTCTGTTTACTTTGCGTTTACCTGTGTGCACTAAGACCTTAAAAGCTTTCTGAGCCTTCTAATCCAGCCAGTAAGTCGGCTAACACAAAAACGCATTTGTGGCTTATTTGGTTTCCCTTCGAATTTTCCTCACGATTTTTTTTCTTTATTGTTTTTCGTTTTTCTTCTTGAAACTTGTTGATTTATGGGGCTTACAGCATTAAAAAAAATGTTTTGTGCACCGATTAGGCATTGTTAGGAGTCAACAGCTTTGGGAAATGTATCAGAGTAGACCCAATCAAATTGAATCTATAAATAAAAGACTTCTACTCGAATTTATGTCTACGCGGGGAAAAACTTAAAGTATTAGCTGAAATCGACAAATCTGTAGGGTGTTTAAAAAAACAAATATTAACATATATTTTAACATGACTACACAACAAATAAGCGTGCATCATTTATAACATTTTTTTAACTAAAATTTTATGAAAAGAATCGTAATTTGAAATAACATTGAATAAAATTAATTAATGTTTTAAAATATGGGCAATATTGAATTTGATATATGGCAATCTCATAAATGCTGCAAAAACAGCTATATGACTGCATAAAATCTTTGTCTAAAATCTCTTGACAAAAGTCTCGGTTATTTCAAGAATATTTTAGTTCTCTGACTGTCACAGCTCAATCGATAAACCACTTTCAAGACTTTTGTTTTACCGAAATTTTATTTGTTTCAAATGCTTAAATCGCTGTAAAAACCCCAAATGACCCCACTCCGAATTAGATTAAAAAAGAATTTGCCGAAAAGTAGCACGACAATGAACAAAACTTGACAACAAGAAAGACAAAGTGTCATAGGACAACGTGCAAAAGCATTTTGCAGCGGCAGGACAGTCGGAAAACGGGGCAAAGGGGCAGCGGGCGTAGCCACTAGAAATGACTGCAGACAGACTCTAGATGAAGTTCATTTTTTATGGCAAGCATCGAGTCATCAGCACTGTTCTCGAAACTGGGTAGCAAGATGACAACCAGGCAGCGTAAGAAAGAAGAGTGCGACCCCAAGGCGGAGATTAAGACCAAAATTAAGGCGGCATTGTTAGCAGTGGGCGCAGTGGAGTGTGGCAGCAACATGTGTAAGCCTCAGACGCTTTGGGTCTCGGGGTCTTCGTGTGTGTGTGTGTGTGTGTGTGTGTGTGTGTGCGGTGTATTGTGGTGCGTGCCGAAATGATTTACGCTTTGTTTGTCAACTTAAAAAGCAAACGGCGGCAACAGGCAAAACCCTTGAAGACATTGCACATACGCCGCGTTGTCATTGGCAGACAAAACAAAAAAGGCAGCTCGGCTGCGATTCAAGTGCTAGGTGGGGTGCGGTAATGAAGAAGGAGGATGGGGTTGGAGTTAAGGGAGACAGTTTTCGCAGTTGTTAGTCGAGAACAGGAGTTGGCTGAAATGCTTTTAATTGAATCCCAGCATCGTCGTGGGCCTGGCAACACTTGACAATAGCAAAAAGAAGTCAGCCAAGTGGTTGGGGCAGTCCTTCTCCAAGTCAGGCTGGCTAGGTAGGGAGGTAGGCGTAACAAGTTAATTAAAAGAAAACTGTGTGGCACAAATGAAATAAATCTTAGCTTTCAACCGCCAGTGAAGCGATGTGTGTGTGTGTGTGTGTGTGTCATGTGTTGCAGACAATGAGTCTGAATTGTAATTAATTCTAAGAAGGGAAGTGTGAGTGGGTGTTTACCAAACGTGATCTATTATTAATAAATTAAATTTTAAATGATATGATAATAAGTATAAAGAGGTATATAATAAAAATAAAATAAGCTCAAAAGCAATTAGCATGCAATACAAATGGAAAAAATTTAATCGAGTAACTGACTAACTAAACAATTCTGATAAATTCAATATTCGAAAAAAGAGTCGAAAAATTACAACCAAAAAATATAAATAGAGTGAATATTGTATTGCAACTAACTTGGCTGGCACGAGAGTGCCTCTAAAAATGGCTGACTTGTGCCTGTTAACAGTTAATTTCCGGTCTCCCCGAAGCCCACCAAATCCTACTGTTAGTCCCATTTAATCTGATGCTATGCTCATTAGCCTTAAAGGACAACCAGCCTGTTTATATTATTGTGCCATAGTAAACAAATCGCTTTGATTTTTACGATGTGACAATCGACCGATGTTTTGAGGCCGTAAATGTGGGTACATGCGTGTGTAGAATACATTCGAAGATACTGCTAGTCATAAATTTGTTAAATTGAATTTCGTTTTCTTTTTGTGTGTTTGGCCTCGTTCCAGGAAAGAGCTTCACATTAACCATCACAGTGTCAACGAATCCACCACATATAGCAACATATAACAAGGCGATCAAAGTAACCGTCGATGGGCCACGCGAGCCGCGCTCCAAAACCAGTAAGTATAAATAGTACCCAATGGGCCAATGGGCCGTGTCCGATAGGCCGTACCCTGTGGCCAGGAGCATACTTATTGCACTCACTACACAAGCGACAAGCTGCAGAGCAAATTAATTTATTTTAGCGATAAATGATACTTTATTAAAGCACTAAGCACAGATATACACACAAGAGCACACCTTTCACCTCTTTTGTTCATTCTTATTCCCTGGACTCATTGAAATTTGGTAAAGAAAAGGGTATACTAGTTCCGGGAATGTGCATGTAACTGGACACGATTTGAATTTTGATGTATATATACTTATATATCTTTTATGGATATGAGTATATCGATTAAATAAGGAAACTTTCCATATAGATCTCGGGGAATATAAGGGCTAGCGATTTCAAATTTGGGATGTGGGTTCTTAAGTAGTTGTGGAATACAGTCCCACATTTTTCATAAGATTGAAAGTTAACGAAAAACACAGACGGTGTATAGGAAAAAGTACGCATTCTTGTAATGGCAGCTCGGCGCTGCGTATAGGATATCTTCTAGCCGGGCACTCTCGGCTAGCGCGCTATAAATTGTGAAGTCTGTTGTCCTTCTACAGTGTTCAATATGCATTGTCGACTCAACGTTTAGCATCAGCAAATGCATATTTATAAGCATGCAAATATTTTACTTTGCATATGTTAAGGCCGACCAGCTCAGACTCGGATCCAGACTAACAACAAAAGTTGCAGAAGTTGTAGTTGTTGCTCTTATTGTCATTGTTGCCAGTGTAATCTGTTGAGTCCGAGAACAACAATTCAATCCATGGCATGATTTATTTCCTTAGCAGCCAGACTGCAGCACTCTGGCCTCTGGCTCCGAAAAAACAGAGAGCACAGGGCTCTGCGGCATAAGCACGCACACAATCGCACGCTACACACACACACACACGAACACACACACACACACACACACACACACACACACACACACACGTTCCCATGCACACAAATATAAACGAGAGTTAGGTTTAAGCTGCTGCTACCAACATCAGACAAAAGGTTATTATTTTATAATGAATACAATCTGCTGTAGAATTGCAGCTGCATAATGGGAGACAGCTCATAGCTGTAAAACAGTCCGAGTGAGATAGACAGAGTGGTAGAAAGAGAGAGAGAGAGAGAGAGAGGGAACGTGAAGGTGATAGAAAGTGTGCGTGTCTGTGAGCTGATAACATTGACCATAACACAGCATGACCAAATGTGGCTTTCAACTAGATTTCTAAAACATATTTTGTTTCTATAGGCACTAAAGAAATGTAGTAAGAACAAATAGGAGTGATTTAGTTAAAATTGTTCGACTAGCAGATATCCAATGCATAGTTGCTGTTACAGATATTCAGACCTGCTTCTATATATGCACACACACACACACATAAAAATAACTACAAAAGAACATTTAGTTAAGGACAGATAATTAAAACTGAAAAAAACTTAGTGTTATCCCTTTTAGGGCAACAACAACAATTTCACTTCGCATTTGGCCAGCGACCGTTCCACTTCTCCACGGATCCCCTATCCGGCTTCCGGATGCCGCCAATTGGCAACTGTCAGAGTGAGTACCATCTAACCAATATCCTACATACATTGTAATTCATAGACTTGTCTCATCATTGATGCAACTTGCATTCGTTGTTGAATATTTTGTTTTCTGATTTTCGGCTTTTCATTTACCACTATGGGGTAACAGTATACGCAAAAAAAAAAACCGCATGCAACAAAAATACACGATCGTTTGAAGGTGGGTCTTGGGCAAAGGGTGGGCTGTGTGGACTGTGTGGTGTGCCCCAATGCAACCGCACAAAATCACACGAAGCGATTAGGTGGCAAGCTTAAAAAAAAAGGAACAATAACACAAACAACGTCAGGTTTTAAACTGCGGCCAGACAAAACCAACAAAAAGTGCAACAATAATTAAATCTATACAGTTTATTGAAAGAAAAAAAAACGTATACAATATATAATAAAAATAAATCTTGATATCAATTTTTCACGCTTTAAGCGACTGCATTAATTAGGCGTTCAATTATATATATTAATTTTTTTGTTAATAAAACTTTACATGCGCCAAAAAGTAGGCAACAAAGGCAGGCACATTGCATGCAGTATCCCACGACTGCTTAATGCTCTGTTCACACTATTAGGATATCAAATTTGGTTACGAATGATATTCCGAGAAACTTCAATTAAACTTCAACAATTAACAATTAACAATTAAACTTCATTCTGATGATATGTTATGATTCGTAGTCGTACAAGCCAGAGTTATGACTCTTACTCAACAGCTGTGTTGAATGGGCGTTGTTGGCTTATATACTCTTTGTTAATAAGGGCAACAGGGTATTAAAAAATTGTCGTTGCAATTGACATTTCGCTTTACCTTGCCCTAAATTATTATTGTTATTGCTGTTATTGCGAACTGCGCTGTTATTAAACTGTTGGCCACTTTATTTAACCAAAGTTTACTATACAAACAAATAAACGTTGGTCAAAGCCAACAACAACAACAGTGACAATGACAATCGACAAACGGCACAAAAAGCAGGCGTCAAAAATGTGTATGACTCGTGTTATTTATCTGTCTGTGTGTACGTAACTTTAACTATGTTTGCGTGCGTGCGTGTGTGTGTATATGAGTGTGTTTGTCGCCATTTTGTATTGTTGTTGCTGTGCGCGAGTTTAAGGACATAAATCACATCACACACACGAATTATTATTTAAATTCAAAGCAACAAAAGCGCCAACAAACATTGTACACAGGTATATATGTATACCTATGCATAAAAAAGACTGACTAACTGGTTGTCTGACTGACTAACTGTCTGACTGATTGACTGACTGATTGCTCTGTCCTTACCCTCCGACCAGTAAGCCCTGAAAAAAAAAGTTGAAATCTGCTTTCTTTTGGAAGAAAAATCGGCTTGGGCTTAATGAAAAACTTAAAGAGCAACAAAGCCACAGAGGCCCTAGGATGCTTGGCTCTGGTGTTACAATTTTTTGATCGATAAAACCGACTATGATTTCATAGTAACCTTAAGGTCTGTACATTGATCACGAGGCTTGGGAATTGAACTCCAGCGAAATGAGTTTAAAATTTATTTTTCCGACCGACGCCGGGCTATTTCCTTTAGTACATATAACCTGTCTAAGTTTTAACTGTTTGTTAAATTACCCGCCAAACAGGCTGCTGTCATGGGTGAGAGTCATAAATCAATAATTAAAATTGTGTGCAAGTTTTTTGCTGTGTCTGCGTTGTTAGTGAATTTAATTAAATAATACATTTAAAAATGCATTTATATTAAATTTGATGTTTCAATTTAAATAGAGAATTAATTGGCGTGCAACAACGACAAAACCTGCGTTAAATCGTTAGCCAAACGTGACAGTAACTTAAATTTAACCTTTTTTCGTAATATTTTTTATCTATTCACTTTTATTTCATAAATTGAAATAATTACTAGCGGTGCCCTTTAAACAAATATCAAATGCAATTCAATCAGCATACAAAATGGCCTGCCAATGACTGTCAATTTGCACTTGTTCTCAGTGGCAGTACCCCGGCAGTGCCTGCCTGTTCCTGCCTCCGGCCACACCCAGTGGCCAGTGCCCAGGCCCCAAGCCATTCCCCGCTTGTCTAGCATGAAGCGCACAAATCAAAATGCAAATTACGCGATTTACAGGCTGACATTTGCCAGGCGACATTGCAATCTATGACTGTTTCTCATTTATATGCACGCTATATTTATAAATGTATATATATATAGATATATGTATATACATTTATACCTTAATGTGCATATATGTACTTGTATATATGTGATTGTGTGTATATTTGTGTAGTTGGCCACACTATATGCAATGAATATATGTGTGCGTGTGTAAATAATGATTACTGAAAGCGTCTGTTGTTACTGATTACCCATAATTTAATTGTAAATATGCAAAAAGCAAAATAACCTGAATTATTTATTAACAAATTTTATTGACAGTCGCTGCTTGACTTAATTACTGGCATATATTTTATTAATTTCGCAAAAAATAAAATATAACGGTAAACATTAAAAATCAAGTTACGTGCACACATCACATTGTCAATGGCTGGTAAAGAGCGACGTATCCTAGAGTTGAGAAAATACCAGTCTATCAGAACTGAGAACGAGCTATATTTATAGTTCTCCCTATAAATATCAAAGTGAAATAGACTTATGAACTGTCTGCCATTGAATTTCAACGTTTTCCTTAAGTTTTTCTTATTCGCACGCTGATTTCTATGATAAATTGAAGAAGTAGACAGAGCAGTGGACAGTAATAGATCGAGATACCACTCAAATCGATTTGTATTTAAATATTCTTGGTCCTGTTTTCCATCGCATGGCTTTATTTGAGTCGAAAGCGAGCTTAGGCCGGACCTTAAAGAGGGAGAGAGCTTTGGCGACGTGATTAGCCCGCGTGGCTTAGATATCTAAGCGTCGGACCAACAAGCGAGCGGTCGCTGGCTAAATTGAACTGCAATTTTTAGTTTTTATATTTGTGTTAACTAAAGCACTTTTAAATATCTGAAATTGGCATGAATGTGTATTCGAAATATACTGGCATTTTCAAAATCATTTAAAAATTAGCGGGCAACGTCGGGTTTTCTTTCTGGTAGAGGTTGTAGTTTGAATAAATCACAAAACATTTTGAGGCTTAATTGATAAAATGTGAACATGACAGTTATTAGCTAAATTGTGTCCGATAAATCAATGCAAGAGATAAGTGTAGAGTACAATTCGAGTTAGCTTTCTTTGGAAGTTGACTGTAGTGGGCATATATTTGCGAAATACCCACATTTGGGTTGGCTTTGCCAACGTATAAACCGTTCTGACTTGTTAATAATTAAGTAACAAAATATGCGCAGAGAAAGTCAATCGTTGTGACAACAAACATCAGACAGCAGACCGAAACACCAACAACAACAAGCAACAACAAAAAGAACAACAGAAACATCAACAGCAACAAACTGTACACAAAAAGCAACGTAATTAATGGAGGTAGAAGCATTTAAGCCAATAGCATTAATAAAGCCACCACAAAATCAATATCCGGATACGAAAATGCGCCCGTCGCCTATAAAAACTAATTAATAATTTCCGAATGGGCTATTAATTAAGCCTAATTATCTGTGCATGAGTCTGGACCCGCAACGTGGTCTGTACTTCATCCGAAACCCTAGTTACCCCCTTCCCTCCTGGCCCCCTCCGCCAGCTTTGCTCACGATATGGGCCTAACATTGGCATTTTTGGGATCATGCCCACGCCAATGGCCGCATTGCGCCCACCTTTCACGTTTACATTGAAACCATTTTGGCCGCTGACCGTCGCATCAGAGATTCGTTTGTAATTTTTATGCACAGCTCTAGCTGAAGTCCCGCATAATGGCCATGATGGAGCTGCAATTAGCGGCCCACATGTGCCATAAATTTGAAAGCCGTAGACGCGTAACACGGGCGAGCGTTCGGTCGATGGCCGATGGCTGGATTGGGGGTTCACTTATTGACAATAATTGTATTCGGTGTGGCGAAACGATAAAGACATTTTTTTTGCGAACCGCTTGCCCGCTTCGGTTCGGTTTGAGGTACTTTATTCTATTTGATTTCGTTTAGTTGCTGATTTTGCCATCGATTTCGGTTTTCACTTTTGAGTTCTGCACACATGTCGTATACTTCATCTGCTGAGTATTCTAGTTTTTATCACGTTCTTCTCTTTGTTTGTTTTTCTCATCTCACGCACACGCATAAATCTAACACGTATATAAAAACACAAACAAAAACAAAAACATAAAAATCAAAATCGATACCAACAACAAAGATATGTCCCAATTTGGTTTAGGTGCCAGCAACACGCATTGGGGCTACGGATCAGCGGCATCTGCATACTCGCCGTACTTAGCTAGCAGCGGACTATCCTCCTGCACTACGCCCACCTCAGCGCAGTTTAACAATCCAGCATTGGGCTTCACCTGTTCCTCCAATGACCAAAGCAACAATCAGGACTTTGGGGGCGCCACCAATCGCGACTGTGTGCCAAGTAAGTGAAAAAGTTTTTTTTTCATTTATAATCGTTAAATATCGATCATAAACATAGAGTAATATATAAAATTAATTGAATTTAATCTTCTATTATTAAATCAGTTACTTATCAAATTAATATTATATATATTTTTAATTGTGAAATGCCAATTGGGCCTATTCTGGAATTAGATTCGACGTGTTTTTGAGTCCGAGAGCGTCCCAATCGATTTCACATAATAATTATTGAGTAATCCAACGAAAAACACGAACGGGTTCATTAAAATAGTTTTTGTTAAGTTATTCTTGAATAATAACTATGCAGAAAAGATTACTTGATAAAATAAATATTATGAAGAATGAAATAAAGACAAGTTTTTGTCTATATATTTTGGCTGATGATACCAATTACTTTTCATCTCAACGACTAGCTTATATTCTTTTTACATAAGCTAGTGTTTCATGTCTTTTTATTGGGTCTTTCAAGTCGGAGATACAAAATTCTTTAATAAAATCAATTTCTTTCCTAAATTCTATTCCTACTTACTTTGTTTATTTGGCGCAGTGCTGCCAGATTCAACAGCCAGCGATTTGGATCAGCATCTCAGCAGTCTAGTCGGATCCTCCAGTGGGCAGATGTCACATCATAGCTTGTTGGGCGCCAGTGGACAGACATCTATTACATCGACGGTGAATGGGGCAGGCGCCGGCAGCGGGGCAACCGCAGGAAGTGCAACAGGCGCTGGCGGCGGTGGTGGTGCCAACTCGATTCTGGTGCCACGATATCATACCAACGCTAGCAATGAGTACAACGTGCATTCCAGCCAGAACGGACCGCGCAGCCTGAGCGACAGCTCGCAGGCCGAATCGCCGGTGCAGGAGGATCTGCTGTCCACCAACACACCCAACCTGGGCAGCGGCAGTGGCGCCGGTGCCAGCAATGGCGGTGCCGCCAACGGTGCTGCTAGTGCTGCTGGCGCTGGCAGCGGCGCCTCAGCGGGTGCATCGGCTGGCGCTGGTAATCCCGCCATGCTGGGTGCCAATCAAAACTTTCCGGGCATTGTTAACCAGGCACAGCATGCCTCTGCCTCTGCGTATGGGGGCGGCGTAGGTGTTGGCGTGGGCGGCGGGCATGGCGGCGGTGCTGGGGCCACGGCCGCCGGCTGCAATGGATCGCTTTACCCGGTGCTCCCAGCCAGCCTGCTGTACTCGCAGCTATATACCGCCGCCAATCAGTCGGCGCACGGCTTTCATTCGCACACGCTGCCGGCGCATGCGTCGCCCAACTCCTCCGTGCATGGGGAGCTGCAGAGCGTAATGGATCACATCAGCAATGTCGGCGTACGGCAACAGCATAACATTATGACCGGCGGGGGCGTGGCGCATCCAGGCGATCTGACACTGATTGGCAACTGCGGCGCGTCGGTGAGGAACATCGAGGATGGGAACACAAATCGTCAGGTGGCCGCGCTCGCTGCCCATCGCGGCCACCACAACCCAACTGATAATGGGGGCAGCGTCTGGAGGCCATATTGAGGTCAGGTTCTGTGGTGCGGCTCCGCAGTTCTTTAGTGCCACGAGCACGTTGAGGGGCGAGCGGCGGAGAAGCAGCACGAGCATCTGCAAGGCAGTGGGAATAGGGACTTGGGTGGGGATATGGGTGGGGATGGGAATGGGACTGGAGGTGGAAGTGGGAATGGGTTTGGGGGCGTGGGTTACTGAGTGTACATTTCTGTATATACTTTTCTAGGCGTACTTGACTTAATTTTTTTTTTTTTTTTTTTTTTTTTTGAATGCCAATGATAAGAGTAAAGGAACTTTTAGTAGAATTTGTTGGAGTTCTCAAAACTCAAAACTAATTTAAAAATAAAAATAAAAACATACAAAACTTCTTTATGTTTGTATAGCGTACCAGTATAGTCAAATGTTAAGCATGAAAAGAAAACCAAAGTAAGAGCCAATTATATATAATTAAACTAGCAAATGGATGTTGCGAAAAACGTTTTCAGAATGGCTTTCGTCTCAAATTCGCAACGATTTCGACACAATTTCGCCTCTAAAAAACTTGACGTCCTGTTACGAAATCGTTACGCACTTGAGCAGCTGATAATGTTTGCAATAGATTTTTAGATACTTTTAACTTTTCGTCTGCAGTTCACAGATGAAACTACATTTTAGGCAGCATTGGGTCTGTGCCTCCCAAAGAGAAGCAGCAGTCCCAGGCCCGCGGATCGCCCGAGCCATTCAACTACACACAAGCTAGTCATAGAAATGAAACCCGGAAATAATGCCCAAAGACATTACGAATTCTAGATTCGTGAAGCAAAGCGAATTTGAAGCAGTCGCTAGAAACACAAGTATCTAATAGAAACGATGACAATTCTTCTCGTAGTTCTCAATGTTTATGATATAGCACGTCTTAAATTGTATGTGTTTTTTTTTTTTCATAATTTTTTTTATTTGTTTTTTTTTTCTATTCGTTTTACAAATGTAACATACTGTATAGAAGGGTTTAGAAAGAAAAAGATAAGGTGGGTAAGAAGCTAATGCGAAGAGCCGTTGTATATGAGTTCCTAGACCGTAATCCATGTTCGTGAATTTGTTTACTGTTTTCATGTGCTTCGATATGCGTGTATGTACTTTAAATGTGTATAAATCTGTGCAATGTAAGCTAAATACTATTTAAAATATATATATATATATGTGTATATATATATATATATATATATTTATATATATTTATATATATATATATGTATATATATTTATACGTAATATATATACAATGAATTATGCCATACTTGATGCAAAACCCAAAACTTTGCAGCACTTATATAAATAAATGTAATAACTTTTTTTTGTCTAGTACATAAAACTTTACCAATTAAGTGAATAGCAGCATTATTGGCTAAAAGTTTCAAAATTACTGTTTTGATGATAATGACGATGATGCTGGTGATAATGATGATGACGATGGTGTTGATGATTTTGCAAAAGAATCAGCTCCATTTCCACTCGTCTTTCAAACAAGGTGTAAGAGATCCAACGAAAAGATTTCATTACGATCTGATGCATCATAGTATTACACATACACACACACATACACACAACACACACACACACGACACACACGATCGCGATCTTAAAGATCTTCTAAAGTTCGAAAAAAAAAAAAAAACATTCGCCACATAAGAGCCACAACGAAGTGGTTTTAGTCTTAGAGATCAACTTATTTGCAAATGTCCAGTAGCACAGTTTTTTTTTTAAATCAAAGTTGAAATTAATTGAATATAATATTAAAAACTGATCGTAAAGTACGTATAATTGATGTATACCAGCATGAAAAAAGCAATAAAAACCACAAAAAAATAACTATGTGTATAAATAGAAAAAAAATGAAACGATGTCAAATCTGCTTGAAGAATTTGAATTTTGCATATACATAACTATAACTATATATATACAAATATATATATATATATATACCGATTTTTGTGCAGTAACATTTCCATGTAATAAATTGAAATATATGTAATGCAAAATTTGATTTCAAGCAAAAGATTTCAAGAGAATTCAAGAAAAAAAAAGAAGACATAAACAAAAAGATCACGGAAATTTAATTAAATACATTAATAAAATCAATATGGAAATTAATATCAAATAAGTGTTTTCTTTTAAGGCGTGTGGCTTTTTGGGTGGGTTTTTCGGTATATGGCAGCGGGTGCAACCGACTGCGCAATACTCTGTACGCAATCGAAATAGACGAAATCAGTTTAGCAACATTTTATGACAGAAAATTGTGTTGGATGATATTTTGCCACGCCTGGTTGGGTTCTTCAGCTCTTCTAAATTTATGTCACATTACTGTTGGTTTGATCTTTGCAAGAAATTGGAAGTAGTCAAACTGCAAAATATTCTGGACTTTAAAGCTTTAAGCATTAAACTGTGAAACGCAAAAGCAAAAAAAAGAATTGGAAGGGGGTTTTATTTGGAATATTTGGGTGCTGGTTTCGTATATCCTTACGAAAGGTGTGCAATACAAATTGCTTGCCACTTTTTACGACACAATCGGGACAATTGGCAAAGGTAAAATTATATTGAGGACGGTGAGCAGCATCTAGCTGCGGTTTAGATTGGCGGGCTACGTAATTTTCCGCTCAATTTATTTCACATTGTGGCATCCAATTAAGCTGCAAACCAGCAGCCAGTCGTGACCAGAACCAACCCCGGACCACCGAGCCAGACAATGGCTTATGGGATACGCTTTCGCGTTTATTTCTATCTTCTGTCCGCCATGTGCGCTCTTTTTGACTCCATAAAAAGGCAGCGCGCAAGATACGAGAGCGGAACACAACTGAAGGTGTGGCTGCAGACGTAGGTGGGAAGGTTTACAGTGGACGTGGATACGGAGACGAAATGGTAACAAGTATCAAGCAATAACCGCAATAGGTAAATTATCTCTTGCCCCGACTGAGAATTCGATATGGAAAGTGCTCACAGAGCAATCTCTGTTGCATATTTCATACGCCATACAGCAGACATTGGATTTTACTTTATTTTCGTCTGCTGCAACTTTTAATTATTTTATTTGTGCCTACTTATAAGAATTCTAAAGATGGCTTGCATAGCAAATTAGCAGTCAGGCGGCGCCTTGAAGTATGCAGCAGCAACTCCCTCAAATGCTATCGCTGGGTATGTGGGTGTGTATGCGTGTGGCGGGTGGGGGAGTCAGTGAATAATTAAAAATTTTACCCATTACTTGCGTCGCTTGATAAAATTTCAAACAGGCACATACATCCACACACAGTTAGAGGATACTCAAGAGTAGCTAAGCTGCCAGGAGACTGCGAAACCACTTGAGATGCTGTCTGCGAATCCCCCAGCAAGCAAATTTCTCCTTCAAACTAAGAGTGATACGCAAACCCCCAGCGTCCCCTCACACACACACACACACACTCTCTCTCTCTGTCTCTCCCTCTGTTTAGCCTTTATTCCCTCTTCCCGTCTCTATCGTGTCTCGCATATTAACACTTTTCATATGAGCAACAAAGAGTCCCTTGGCAACCGCATTGACTGATTGACTGAGCGTCTGAGATGAAGCTGAACGGCGCTGAGTAATTGGCTAACTGAATGCTGTTTTTTGTTGTCATACAGTAACACTCAGTAGAGTCTTTAGTAGAGAAAAGATATCGTATTACTGACATATTTATTTAAAACAATGTTTTCAAATGGACAGTATTTATTATCTAATCGACGCTCGCAAATAAGAGCTTATCGGCTCAAGAACATTTGCTAAAATAAGCTCTTCACTTTTTTTTTTAGTAATATTTAAAATTGTTTACCATAGATCAATTGCATAAAGGAAGTAATAGATGCAGATGCTCATAAAAGTCAAGAGTCAGAGAGTATTTCGGGACGTTCGGAATCGCGGTTGTTATTAACATTTGTTAAAATTCTTTTTATAAAATTGTCTATATATTTAATTACATTATAAGCTTACAAGGCTTTAAAATATTCAACTAAAATACTTTAAAAGTTTATAAAAAATATGTTAATTTGTTGTCAAAGCATTTTTCAACTTGAAAGGTCGTCTTTTTACTTCACTGGTAAATGCATCTTAAGGATAAAGTTTGTTGCATGGCTAGAGCCTGATACCAGGAATATCTGTATGTGGCCTACAAGCCAATTTCAATTTTTGACTGCCTTATGAGGATAATAAAGACGATGCCGAGTGTCATGTGGAACAAAAGGACAGAAAATGTATACATTTTAATTGAATTACAGAGTTAAGTAGATGAATACATATGTCAGATATAACAAGTATGTTAATCAGTAAAAGGCTTAAAAATGTTGTAAAAAAAAAAAAAAAACAACAACATCACATGTCTAACTGGGGCTATTGAGAATTTGCTTGAACAACCCTCAGGTACTTGGCTTTCATTCATAACGACGACAATCATCTTTTTGAGACGCTTCATTTGCCGAAATTTTGTTGTGTCAATTATGCACGCGATGAGCATGCGTGTGTGTGTGCATAACTTTTATTATGATACCAATTAAAGCCTCTCACATGGCAGCTCATGTGTGTGTCTCGCTTGTTTCTTAAGGGAAGAAACCAGGCGCTCGCTTAATTAGCAACACCTACAACAAATTCCACTCATACATCCCCCACCTTCGCGTCTTAGCAGCGCATTTAAAAGCAGCAAAACAAACTTTTTAATTATGTGCTAATATATTTAGCTTGTTTATGTAGCAACCACCCACTGCCAACCACACTTCCTACTGCGCTTTCAGCTCGCATCATTGACGCAGTCGAACTGGACCGAGAAAAGGACAAACATAAAAATACATAAATATGCTTGTAGAGTGTTTTAGTCGGCAGTGCCCGACTAAGGGATACCCTGCCTTTACCAGCATTTGAACTTTCTTCCATAGTTACATATATTCATAAAAGCACCCACATATGTAAGTTTAGGCTGACTTTGCACTTAACGCAGCTCTTGTGCTTCTTCTTCAAACAGCCACACACTTTTGGTCTAGAATATGTAACTACGGTGTTTACAGTCAGATCCATTTCAAGCTTTAGAGCCCAAATATGGCATGCGACCGCAGGAATATAACTAAGCGTATGGCT